ACCATTTAAATAATTAAAAATCTATTACCATATCTAAAACTCCTTGGCTCAGCCATCCTGGGCTGTTTTTATTTGTGTTAGGTCCAGGAGCTTTGTTGTTTTGTTTTGCTTTAACAACAGGAGGGGACATAAAAGTAACTTAAAGTATATGTCTTGTTTTTTAAGACCTCTCCAGGACATATAATGGCCCGGGAGAGGCAAACATGTGCTGAAATTTGTCCACAGGCCCCCAGATGACACTGGGGAGCAAACAGCTTTTTTAATTCCAGGTACTACAGGGCCATGAAACCGCTCTGAAAGCCACATGTTTCCCACCCTTGTTTTAAGAGAGCAGACTTTTACTAGTTGTCTCCAGGAGGACAGCATCTGCTCTTTAAAGAGAGTTCATGGTTATATGAGACAAACAGAAGTGCAAACCCAAGAGAACAGGTATCAATACAGATCCTCTTCCCTGTTTTACTATTATGAATTTATATAAAAAGGGTAAGGGCACACGTGAAAGCCATTATTAAGGTCAAAACAGTTGAGGAATGGAGGTCATAAACTACACATACCTGTTCTGTTTCTATAGCGACACTAACCTGAGTGCTATATAGGGTGTCGTAAAATAAATCATATAGATTCAAGCTGAACAGGAAGTCTGTCTGTGTAAATTCTTTTTACCAGTATTTGTGTTTCAAGAAATTGCTCACACCAAACACTTAACAGGTCAGACCTTTTACATTGGCTGCAGCATGTTTGAGATTATACCACAAACTTTGTCTCCTCGATGCGTTGTCAAAGGCTTTCATGGCTGAAATCACTGGGTTGCTGTGAGTTTTTCAGGCTGTATGGCCATGTTCCAGAAGCATTCTCTCCTGATGTTTTGTCCACATCTATGGCAGGCATCTTCAGAGGTTGTGAGGTCTGTCTGCTAAAGGCAAGTCTGGGTGTTGCAATTGGACACCTTGATTAGCACTGAATAGCTTTGCATCTTCAAAGCCTGGCTGCTTCCTGCCTGGGGGAATCCTTGTTGGGCGGTGTTAGCCAGCCCAGATTGATTCTTGTCTGGAATTCCCCTGGTTTGTTTTTTTTTTTAGTTTTTGCTCTTTATTTACTGGCCTGATTTTAGAGTTTTTGAATACTGGTAGCCAGATTTTGTTGATTTTCACGATTTCTTCCTTTCTGTTGAAATTGTCAACATGCTTGTGGATTTCAATGGTTACTCTGTGTAGCATGATGTGGTGGTTGTTGGAGTGGTCCAGCATTTCTGTGTTCTCAAATAAAATGCTGTGCCCAGGTTGGTTCATCAGGTGCTCTGCTATGGTTGACTTCTCTGGTTGAAGTAGTCTGTAGTGCCTTTCATGTTCCTTGATTCTTGTTTAGGTGTTGCATTTGTGATTATAAATAGCTGCCATGTGTTATAATTAAGTTCTGGTTATATCACAAAAGGATGAGAACATCTCCACATAAATTAACAAAAGTAATATAATGTATTGTGTTATCGAAGGCTTTCATGGCTGGAATCACTGGGTTGCTGTGAGTTTTCTGGGCTGTATGGCCATGTTCCAGAAGCATTCTCTCCTCATGTTTCGCTGAAATCTATGGCAGGCATCCTCAGAGGTTGTGAGGTCTGTTCAAAACTAGTCAAGTGAGGTTTACATATCTCTGGAATTTCCAGGATGAGAGAAAGAACTGTTGTCTGTTTGAGGCAAGTGTGAATGTTGCAATTGGCCACCTTGATTAGCACTAAATAGCTGTGCAACCATTAATTTATTGTACAATTTGACCTCCAGTACCTGCGGTTTTGCCACCCACATCCATGTCCCCTTTAAGAACTGTCTAGGTCCCAGACAATTCTATTGTATTCTTCCATTTTTAACTGTGAATTTTTAATACCATTGATATTTAATTCTCTTTTAATGTTTGTATATCTGTAGATTTTAAATTGTATTGAAATGCTTTTATATAAGCTGATTTGAGTCTCCTTCTGGAGAGAAAAGTAATAATAATAATAATTATTATTATTATTATTATTATTATTCCAGAAGTTACTGTGTACTATCACTGGATGACCTAGTAAATTCCTAGAGAAGATGCCTCTCTGGGAATATTCTAGTCCTCCAGTATGATTCTGAAATGAAGTGGTTCATTTCAGTAGGGCTCACTGTTATCCAGGTTCCTGTTTCCATTCTAATTAATAGTCATGGTCTTGGTACAGCCTCTTAATATCTTATTATTTCGATCAGTTGTTTACATTTTAATGCATAAGAATTAGAATATTTTTTCCTAATGTCAGGCAGCACTATCCCCAGCATATCTATTCAGAAGTAATGCCCATTGAATTTTAGTGATAGATAAGTGATATACAGATATTTGTAAAAATCCACCTCAATTATATCTGAAGTGGTTTCAATATTATGAGTAATCAAAAGTAAATACTTCTCTGGTTAGAACCATGCACTAAATTCTATTGTCATTTCACTGTAGAAAGAATATGCTGTTGTCATAAGCACATGTTTTATGTGGAGTTTTAATAACTAAATGATGGGTTCCTGTTATGGGTCACCTGGTCTGTTCAATCATGTGTACATCTGGGAGTCAGATGCACTGATGTGTCAACATATTTTAGGTAATATGGTATGTTATTTGATACTCATTTGTTTAAGAAGGAATTATCAGTGTTTAGCTTTAGCTCCAGCAATTACAAGTAAATATTTTTAAAGAACTGAGTGAAATCATGTCAGCCTATCATGTCTTAACCGTTTCACACAAAATATATGTGTCGCTCTGGGTTCCATACCTCTATCTTAACCACACTTATTTAAGTAAGACACTTAATTTAATTGTGTCGGAGCACTTGATATACAACCAGTTTTGTAGTGTAGATTCTGTATAAAGGCTTTAATCACTTCTATGAAAAATGTGATGCAGATCATGTTTCTGCTTCTCCTGCGCTCATTAGGACCACAAAGCACAGCTTGCGTCACACTGAACTTGCTTAGCAGTGCAATAATACTTTGTGGCTGCTGAGAAGTCATGTGATCTCTTCTTAATCTCTTCTTTTGTAGTACAAATGCCATTCCTGTCAATGGCCGGAGCTTTGCTTTCATAGCTATTCAGTCGCTTGATTGGTCTTAGTTTAGTCAACAAGCTGACTTGCAAATCCCCTTAGGGAACATATTCTGCTATTCGGTATTTCTCATGGGCCCTGCACAGTTCTAACCTTTTTTTTTCCACAGTGAAGAGAGACTGAAGCATGACTCCCAAAGGAGAGACTTCTTTTGTGAAGTCATATTGGTTACCATGTTTTTTTGTTTGTTTGGTTGCATGCTGCATGTCATCGTCTAAAAGGATGTTGCCCAGGGGACACCCGGATGTGTAATGAACCTTTGGGGAGGCTTCTCTTATGTCCCCAACATGCAAGTGTGGAGAAGAGCAAACCACACACCACCTATTACAATGCAGCCTGAGCCCTGCCACATGTACAACGTAGGACTTCCTTATAGCAACACCAGAGGCACTCCAAGTGGACAGCTACTGGTCAAAGAACATTTAGTATTATGCCAAGTTTTTAACTTTGTGTTTTTAAATGCATTATAACTGTACCCTCAATTCGCTTCTGACATGATAAATAAACAACCACAATTTTTAATTTTCATCATTTTCCTTGTACCTCAGGATATTGGTCCTTCTTTTCCCCTTCCTAATGACAGTATTCTCATACATTAGCCATAACTAATGGCAAAAGACTATTGTCAATACACTTTTCTTCCCTGTCTCTTCTCATATACATGTAACTTGTCAACTTGACTTATAGCACCATCCCCAGGCTGATGGAAATCCTTCATGCTTCCTACTATGATTAAGATTAATTAGCCAATCCTTAACCTCTCATTAGCCATCTTTCCCAGCTCCAGGGATGCTTTTGGCTGTTGAGGTATGTAGACTCAGTTTCACAGAGACTTCTAGGGAAGTAATATTTTGAGGCTATGTGAAGGAGGTGTAACTGAACATCCAAAATGATGTTGATTGGCTAGGTTCCTATATAACACTTGATGCTTGACATCTCAGTTGCTATTTCAAAGGCTATGGAAAGTTATATCCTTCTGTTACTCAACAGGAAAAGCATTTTTGAAATTTGAATTTTTGCACTTTAAAAAATCTAATTAGTATTTTGTGAATAATAGGATGTAACTGGGGGTCGTGGTAGTGCAGCAAGTTAAACTGCTAGCTGCAGGAAATCTGTTTACTGGAGGGTTTGCAGTTCAAAGCTGTTAGCCCTAGCTTTTGCCAACCTAGTAGTTTGAAAGCATGCAATACAAGTTGATCAATAGGTACCAACCAGGCAGGAAGGTAAAAGGAGCACTCTATACCGACATGCTGGCAAAACACGATTGGAGATGTCTATGGACAACAGGCTCCTCAGTACAGAAAAATGGAACAACAGCACCTCCCCATGGGTGAAGTTGAGTGTCTCCTCCAGATGCCAGAGATGAAAGGGGAAGGCCTTTACCTTTGTCAATGTATTGTATGTTGATATTGTTCACTGTGTAAAAGCCATTGAATGTTTGCCTTGTATCTGTATTCTGTAGTCTGCTCTGAGTCCCTCCGGGGAAATAAAGCAGAATATAAAGTGCATTATTATTATTATTATTATTATTATTATTATTATTATTATTATATGTGAAAATTAGGTCATTAGGATTTCAAACCTAATTTTATTACATAATGGTATCAATCTATCTAAGTGACCAAACAAATGAAAAATAAGTTTACTTGTTATATATGCCAACATGCAAATTACTTTAAAGTTTCTCATAAATGCATAAGAAAATGAAAAGGACAATAAAAGGAAATGACATGATTATAATATAGGTGATGTACCAAAAAAAGCTGTAATGTCAGTATATTTAGGTGGAAAATAGAGAATTTCAGGTGTATCTTCTAGTTAATTAAAATATATTCTGATGTCTGTGTTTATTTAATTGCCACACCTAATTATTATATTCTTATATTAGATTTCCTAGGATGTCTTCTCAAGAATGATAGCATGGCGCCACCACGATCTTTTCCCATGTCCAGAAGAATCGATTCTGAACAGATTTCATGGGACGACCCTGATGCTGAAAATGATTTCGACCATGGATCAGGTTTTGGCAATCAGACCACACCAAAATTATTCTCTGTGTCTAAAGATGCTGAAAGATACCTGACTGGTGTGTGGCTGACCCTTTTTGTGCCATCAGTCTACACTTTAGTTGCCATAGTGAGCCTTCCTCTGAACATCATGGCAATTCTTGTGTTCCTGATAAAAATGAAGATGAAAAAGCCAGCCATAGTATATATGTTCAACCTAGCTTCTGCAGATGTACTCTTTGCAAGCATGCTTCCTTTTAAGATTGGCTACCATTTTTCTGGAAACAACTGGGTGCTTGGTCCGGAAATGTGTCGCTTTGTCACTGCTACATTTTACTGCAACATGTATTGTTCCATATTACTGGTAATGGTGATAAGCATTGACCGTTTCCTGGCCGTGGTGTACCCAATGGAGTCTCTGTCATGGCGCACATTAAGTCGCGCCTCCGTGGTGTGCATTGCCATTTGGATTGTTTCCATTGCTGGAGTCATACCTCTGCTTATCACGGAGCAAACCCAGGAAATACCTCACTTAAACATTACAACATGTTATGATGTGTTGAATCAAGAGGATCTTGAAGGATATTACTTCATATTTTTCACAGTTTTCTCTTTGCTTTTCTTTTTTGTGCCATTAATTGTTTGTTCTGTCTGTTACATCTGCATCATCTGGCGTCTGAGCTCGTCCGACATCGCTGCAAAGCAGAGCAAGAAGACGCGGGCTTTGTTTTTGTCTGTAGCGGTTTTCTCCATTTTTGTGTTGTGTTTTGGTCCAACAAATGTTCTCCTCATAGCGCATTACATACATTTTTCTTACAGAAGCTATTCGGGGAGTATCTATTTTGCTTATCTCCTCTGCGTCTGCATTAGCAGTATTAGTTGCTGCATTGATCCTCTGGTCTATTATTTTGCCTCATCCGAATGCAAACGACACCTCTGCAACCTGTTGTGCTGCAAAGTGAATGATGATCCCTGCAGCCAAAGCACCAGCGACCAGCTCATGATGAGGGCCAGCCGAAGGGGGACCTGCACCAGTACACTTGGAAACAGCGTCTATAGGAAGTTATTAACATAAGCATTTATGGACAAATGTATACTTGATGCTCTTGTGTTTAATGCAGCTCTGTTTTTTAAAAGAGTATTGGCCTACACTCATTTTTCACATAATGTGTGAACATAATGGGCTATGGACATAATGGGCACAGTTCACAGCTGAGAACTGTGACGTGGGTTGCTACATCCTGTTTGTATGGAAGGGCATGTATGCATATTTATGCACACATATTTGCATACCTACATTGACTGGAATCCTGTTGGTTAGTCACAGTTGGAGTTAACCTATTCAATCAGCTCTTGAATGCTGAGTTGACACATAAGTTAATCAGTGGTGCTGATCTAGTCGGAACTAACAGAACAGTGAGGCCTTGGTATCTGCAGTGGTTTGGTTCAGACTTTCAATGGATACTAAAATCTGTGGGTACTCAAGTGCCATTATATACTATAGCACAGTAAAATGCTTATATAAGATGGCAAAATCAAGGTTGACTTTTGTTTTTTAAAATATAAATAAATATATATATATTCCAGGCCATGGATGGTTGAATCCATGTATTCAGAGGTCTGATTATAATCCCAGAGGTAATTTTTTCCAAATATGCATTACACCTTTCCCTGGTATTTCTCTCATAACCAAGAACGGAATGTTCAGTTAAGACAAAATTACACTTATTGAAATGCTTTTTTACATTGCAGTGTTCACACATTTAGATATAGGGATGAATGCAAAGGACCAGATTTGGCAATATCGTTGAACTGTTGGCTAAACAATTACTCTTGTGACCCTAGTAGCATTTTGAATTAAGCTGTATTCCAGTTTGCATAGGCATACCATTTACTAAGATAATGCTATCCAGGCTTCTATTTTAATTATTCTTCAGTGTAATAAATGCTGATAACTGACACTGATAAATCATAGTACTATGAGTATAAAGTACAGCAGAATGCAAGCTATGCATATGCTTATGTTTCTCTTTCCATTTGTGCCCTGAGCAGAAAAGTAAAGAAAAACAATTCTGAAACTTAGCAGTTCTTTACACGAAATTCAGTCACCTTTTACCCTTTTGACTATTACCCTTTTGACAGTAGTGATTTAAAATAAGCTACACTGAAGGTCTCATTTCAAATAGAGATCTTTGAAAGACTGGCTGTTCCAAAGCGGTTTCCAGCATATTCACGAAAAAGAATTCAATGTCTTACAAAACATGAAAACCTCACATAAAACAACAGTAGCATAAAACTATAAATTAAATCATAAAACATATCTATAAACGCATAAAGTGTAGCAATCTCTTAATTCTAAAATATCTTCAGTGGAGAGATTTGCTCTGGAAAAGCTGTTTTCCCCTGAAATTGTTTGAGAACCCTGATTCTCCTTCTGTATTATATTCTATGTCTGTGATTTCAAGCTAGTTGCATTGGTAGCCTTCAGTATGTGTTATATGTCTCTATTAATTTCTCATTAATACACCATTATGTAATAGCCTTGGACTCTATGAAACCAGAGTTTGAATATCGCCTCGGCTATGGAAATGAGGTATATCTCACATTTTTAAAGGCCTTACAGGAAGGCCACCTTTAAATAAATATTGCCAAGAAAGGAAGGAAAGTAATAGCAAGTTATTAGTATACAAATATTTGTATTGCATTTAATTCATCATACAGTGTTTGCAATTCTCTGAGAAGAGATCGCTCTTACGTTTATAAGATCAAAGGCTCCTTGTATGAGCACAGCATTCTTTATAGGATGGGAATTACCGTTCTTTAGTACAAGATCAAAAACTTAGAATCCAACTTAGTTTTAATTTTTGGTTAGCGCTAATGTATGCTTTCTACTGTCATTATATATTAAATCTCATATGCCTTGAGTGAGCTAATGTACCCTCATGTGGCTTACCTTGTGTGAAATATTGATTAGAACACATTATTGTTTGGATATCCAAACCTTTGGAGAATCAGAGAAAAGAGTAAATATTATCACTTAATTATATGTTAATATAAGTGGTATAAAAGAAGGTTCTGCTAAGCAAGGCAGTCATTTAAAACTAGTTTTACTCTACATCTTGCATTAATTTGGGTAGATTTCTAAAATGGGTGAAAATGCCTGAGCATCCTTATTTAGTAAATGTTTCTAATAGGCATTTGCTCCCTGGCCCCATGTACAGAAATTTCATTCAGTTTGAGGTTTTTTTTAATGTAAAATACATCATGACTTGGCCATGTATCAACAGGGTGACACAATAGAAAGAATGATCATTAAATGAATCCACATTTGGCAACTATAAAGTAAAAAAAAAGTTATATGCCTTTAAGCTAAATTAAAGATGCTCTTCCTCAAGCTATAGTGTATGGTTTATATTAAACTTTCATTTCGTATTTGCAAGAGACTGATCCATGCAATTTTGCATGTTAGTTTTTTTGCAGTAGAATTGCATAGAATTATTAATGTGACAAAATTTAAAGCTGAAAGTACACAAAAGTGCTTGCTTTTAATCCCATTCCATGGTCATCTAAAAACCTAGTACAAGCAGTCCCCAAGTTACAAACATCCAACTTACAAATGACTCATAGCTGAGAATGGGAGTGAGACAACTGGAAGTGAGAGAAATCTACGTCTAGGAAGGGAAATTCACTCTCGAAGGAGTTATCATGGGGAAAAGTTGTCTCAACTGAAGCTTTGTCACCAATCCTTGTTTCACAACAATCCAGTTTTTTCAATATCAAATGATCGCAGGGACAGAATGTTAGATGAAATCTTCTGAATGGGCACACCAATGCTTTGCTATCCAAATATATAAATGTAATACTTTCTTTGTATTCCATCCTATCTCCCTGAGGGGACTCAGGGTGGATTCCCGCAAACACAGACAAAAGACAAACATTCAATGCCTAGAAACATCAAACAAGATAAAGGTAAAAGTTTCCCCTTCTGGCTCTGGTGCTCATCTCCAGCTCAAGGAGTGGTGCTCATTTTTATTTCTCAGCTGAAGAGCCTGCATTGTCCGTAGACACCTCCCAGGTCATGTGGCCAGTGTGACTGAAGGTAAAGTACCGTTTACCTTCCCATCGAGGCAATACCTATTGATCTACTCACATTTGCATGTTTTTGAACTGCTAGGTTGGCAGAAGCTGAGGCTAACAGTGGGAGCTCACCCCATCCTGTCGATTTGAACCGCCAACCTTCCGGTCAGTGAATTCAGCAGCTCAGCAGTTTAACCTGTTGTGTCACCATGGCCCCCTATCCAAAGACACACACACATATATCTGAAGTTACACTTCAAAAATGTTCCTGTTCTGACTTACATACACATTCAGCTTAAGAACAAACCTACAGAACCTATCTTGTTCATATCTTGGGGACTGCCATTAATGTAGTTTAACCAGGGTGGCAACTATGCTATCTCTTGAGTTCACAAGGCAATGATAAAAGGAATAGGAGCCATATACTTTTAAAGTTTATATTAAATTACTATTTTAAATATTATTTTCCCAATTAAAAAGATTGACTTGGGAATAAATACATTGCTACCATCCATTTTTTTTCAAAGTTGGAAAGCCCACATCAAATGTATTTCACACATAGTATTTAACTGTGCATTAAGTAAAATGTGTAAATATTCTACAATTATGTACATAATATTATATATTTCTGATTTAACCAAATAAACTATTCTTACTGGTATTGCTTTTTTTAGAGTTATAGAAGTTTCCTATTTTTGTAAACTGAAGGAGCAAATAAATTTACAAACTGTTTTGTCGGTTGATTCATTGTGACTGCATAAGGCAAGTAACAACTGAATGTCAGTTCATTTACAAACAACAGCTTTGAAACAATGTACTAAAAGAGTTGAAATTTCTATCAGCTTGCTCAAAACCTAACCATCTAATAACCATGCAAAATCAACAAATCCCAAGTGTTTAAATTAGTATTGGAGACAGATACCATCCTTTTGGTATTGAGTAATCCTATAATAACAATGGAATAATACTGATGACAGATACAGCAGATAGAAAGTGTTTTGTTCAAAAACCATTGCAAAATATCATTAAGGATACTGCATATACACATATGTAAATCTAGTTAAAAATCGATCCAAAAAACCCGAGTCAATTTATCTGTAGGTCAATGCAACTATTCTACAGTAATTTTGTGTTTTGAAAATATGCACTATAGATATATTTTAATGTGTGCATAAAACACATTACATTCTCGGTATCATTTGGTAGGTACCCACCTCAGATGGCAAATGCTAGGAGACACAAAGCTATGCCAACATCTTGGATGAGTATGTGCCATTCAGTTTGCCCTTCCCCTCTTGCCCCAGTATATATTTCCACTCTTCCATATGCTTGGTGGTCTGGAGTGAAATTCATGTTGAAAATGGATGAAAATCCTGCCTGGAGGAGATAAATGTGTGTGGGCTTCCAAGGTGAGTTGGGGGCAGCTTTTGGTTAGTACTTGATTGGAACAGAATTCCAAAGAATGCAACAATTGAAGTGAGTTACAATGGCATGTGCTGGGTGTGTGCCATTGTAAACCACTAGCAAAATGCAGGGGAAGTTTCCAATTTTCAGCTCACTATCACGTACAGACATTTTTTTTGTTTATTGCAGAAATGAAACTGGTTTGTTTAAATTTGTGCATATTTTCAATTTTTATCCCACAGAATGTAATGTATGCGAACAAAATGCCCTATACCATTTTGTTGTGAAGCATAATGGCTTGTGAGAGAATGGAGCCTCTTGCCTACTCATACACTATTTGGAGGGGGCATCACATTCATGCTCACTTACTCACTTCTTCCAGGTAAAACAAATGAGTGACATGAACACATGAAGAGCAGGGATGCAAGGACCTGTTGCCCACAAGCAGAGAGAATTCACTATACGGAGATATCCAAGGCCAATGGAAGAAGCATATAAACAGTATTAAAAACATCACAGATAATATTCTTTGGTTGACATACCAGTATCTGCTTCTCTTACAAAAAGCTCCCTCTCTAGGCATTGCTGCTTGCATTCTTGTTCAGTGAGAAATAGTTCTGCAATGTTTCGCTTGCAGCCAGATGTACCAGGTATCCCTACCACAAATAACCTTGAGCATATAGGGGGAAATACATCTTACCTTTCAATATGAATCTCCATAAATCAAGTGAAACACATGTTCAGACAACAGCTGATCAGAGCCTGGGTAGATTTCTAAATCTTGTTTGGATTGCTTTGAGTTTTCCGGGCTGTATGGCCATGTTCCAGAAGCATTCTTTCCTGCACATTTTGCCCACATCTATGGCAGGGATCCTCAGAGATTGTGAGATCTGTTGGAATCCAGGCAAGTGAGGTTTATATATATGTGGAATATCCAGAGCAGGAGAAAGAACTGTTTGAGGCAAGTGTGAATGTTGCAATTGGCCACCTTGATTAGCATTGAATGGCCTTGCAGCTTCAAAGCTTGGCTGCTTCCTTGATTATTTTCCTATAG